AATTTCATAGGAGACATCAGCATGGTCATTTTTTTTAACCAGGTCAAGTTTAGTTACAATTTTTACATGTGAAAATTAAGTGGAAGATGAATTAAACAAGTGTTAGAGTTTTTCCAGGTGAGTACAATGAAATAAAAGAGTGACAAAGGATACTAAAGTATATTCAGAGTAACATCTGTCTATTCTGTCAATACTAGTATTTACCTAATAGCTGATATTCATGTTAAATTAAGAAAATGTGTATCTGAATCTCTCAATCTCTATATAAGCACTATTCAGAAAATTGTGAATATTAGCACGTATATATACATATCATTCAGGGCCATATGGGTATATGTGTGTATATATATATATGTGTGTGTGTGTGTGTGTGTGTGTGTGTGTGTGTGTGTGTGTGTGTGTGTATGACAATATATATATCTATATAGCAATACTGCCTTGAGTTTTGCCTATTTTTGAAATTTATATAAACAGATGTATAATGTATTTAGTCTCTTGTGACTAGATATTTTTGCTCAAGATTTTTTACTAAAGATGCATTCATACTGATGCAAGTAGTTTATTTATTTTCACTGATGTGTGAAAATGCATTAAATTATCATAACACATTAAAATATATTGTCTATTCTCCTATTGATGAAAATATGGATTTCTTTAATTTTTATTAATGTTGTAATTAAAATTCTAGCATTTATTTTAGGCTGCAAATGTATGATTTTTCTAGTGAAAATGTCTATGTGAGAATAATTTTATTATCAAATAATAAAATTTTTAACTTATTCGTAATGCCCAATTGTTTTCTAAACTGATTAGACCAGCTAACCTCCCATAAACAGCATGAGAAAATGCCCATTCCTCATATATTTGCTAACACTTAGTATTATATGACAAGTATTTAAAAATTTTGCCTATTTGTTGTGTGTAAAATTGTTTTTCATTATAGTTTTAATTCCACATTTTTAGATTATTAATATAATTTTGATATTTCTATGTATTATTATTATTTGCATTTTATTTACCCTGAAATACCTATTATTGTCTTTTGTCTGATTTCCTGTTCAGTGATTTGTATTTTTCTTACAGAGGTATAGAAGTTTTTCTGTAGATTATTCCTTTGTTGACAATATGTATTGTGTATAATTATCCTAGATTGTGGCTTGTATTTTTAAATCTTATAAAAGGGTAAAACATACCCAGAAGTGCACAAATTATAATTATGCACATTAATGCACTATCACAACTGAACACCCAGTATTCACTTGAAATCTCATGATGAGGTATTTTTTTCCTACTCAGGAAAGTAGCTCATCAGGATCTATTTTAAAGGGTTTATACTGTATACTGCTGTGCTTTAAATTGCATTGTCTTGATCCAGGAAACTAGGGGGTCTATACTGTGATTATCCTTTTGGAATTCTTCATAAATTCCATACTGTGCCTTTTCCCATCACCATTGACTGTAATACCATGAAGTCTACTAAGTCATATGGGCTAAGTAACGGGGTCCTTTAATTGCAGCCTGGACTTATAACAAAATGTGTTCTTTCTGTGGATTCCACTTCAGACTGACTGCATTTTACGTAATGCAATAATTGATTGGTTGGAGAAGTATCTACAAATGAGCAATATATTGTTTTCAAACCCTCGTGAGGCCTATCTGGCCTTATGCTTCCTTTTTAATGGTGGAAGTTATAGGAGTTAACAATTTGTCTTTTAATTTGGAGAGGATTTCTAGCATGTTACAGACTCTTAGATCCCCCACAGTTCTAGGGATGAGGCAAGCCCCTAATTCATTTTAGCGTTATCTACCACCTTCTTGAACACATGTATTGAAGAGGCCTCCAACATACAGGGTATCCCTGTTTATACAATCCAATTAATAATGACATCAATATAGTATACTAATGTCCTATTATCTAGTATGTACAGAGGACTCAGATCCCTTTAGACTAGTTATAGAGATTGAAATAATTCACATAAATTTATACTCTTGCTCATCTCAAGTGGATCAGAGCTGCTTTTAATGGCCCTTTATGATAAAAATAGATTAAAACACATTTAACTTATTGATGACTGTAAACCACATACTTGAGCTCATGTTAATTTGCTCTAACAAAGGTGTCACATCTAGGACAGCAGGTGCAATTGGGGATACACTTGTTTGAGATTGAATTAGTCCACTGTCATTCTACAAGATTAGTCTGGCTTCTGTATTGTTTAGGGTAGTAAATTAAATGTATACTTCCATGCCAGTATCCTTAAGGACTTTAGCAGTACAACTAATCTCTGTCATTTTTTATACCAGATGCAGTGTTCCTGATTGATTACCTTGTTTGGTGTGGAGGTTTAAAAAAATGTGCCTAACAGGCCTCTAAGTACAGGGAACATAATTGACCAAGAACCTCAGTTGCTACACTCTGGATCAATCAGCATATTCATGCCAAGGTCACACTTCCCACAAACTGCTGCCTGGCAAATTACTGAGTATGGTAGGAATACTAAGGCAGGCCTGTTCCTGGATACACATGAGACTGCTCTGTAAGTCAACTTTGGATTGAAGACTCCCCAACAGCTTTGCTGAAATAATTCCTTAGACTGCACAGCTACAAAACCATGCCACCAATTCCAAATTAAAAGGACATCCTTCCATATTAGTATATAAAAAATTGTTGACTTTCACATTTGAGTCCCTGATTCTTCTATAATTCTTTCTCTTTCCTTCTTCCCTCTTTTTATTTTTCCTCCCTCTATTTAGACACATTTTTAATTTGTGAAATTAAGATATTAATAATATAACTATGAGTTAATTTATGCTTTATTTGCATTTATGACCACTACTTTTCCTCACAATTTTAAACTGTGTCATTATAATGTTACCTCAATGATTCCATCGGTATGTCTATTTATTTTGTCTTTATAAAGAACAAATTGTTCTTTGTTCATCCTCATTTTATCCTTGTTATATCTCATTCATTTCTGAGTTTGTATTTTTATTTGCTACTAATATTCCTTGGTTAATTGTTTACTTTTTCTAATTTCACTGTTTTATATGTGCTATATAAATATTTTTATAATTTATGTACTATGTATTTATTTATTTATTTTGAATTGTGATATCACTCTGTCATCCAGAATAAAGTGCAGTGGCTCACTGCAATTTCAAACTTTTGAGCTCAAGCAATTCTCATACCTCAGCCTCCGGAGTAGCTGGGACTAAAGGGACTAGTCACCATGCCCAGCTGTTTTATTATTATTATTATTATTATTATTTTATTATTATACATTTTTATAGATACAAGGTCTCACTATGCTGCCTAGTCTGCTCTCAAACTCCTAGGTTCAAGCAATACTCTTGTCTTGGCCTCCTAGAATGCTGGGGTTACAGATGTGAGCCATTATGCCTGGCAAATTATTTTTTTTAATTTTTGCTTAAATTAATCCCCATTTTCATCATTCTTAAATGTCATTTTTCTTCTTACATCATGTATATTTTATTCTGGAATTATTTTTATGAACATTAAATTAATTCTAAAAAACTTTCTGTGCTAATGGTCTGTGGGCAGTAAACACTGTAAGTTGTAAAAAAATCTTTTGTTTCTTGGAATGGTTGGTTTTTCTAGGTATATAATTCTATATTGACAGTATAGATTTCCTAGCTCACTTTCAAGGTGTCATTCTACTATCTTCTTGTTTCACTGATTTTTTGATAAGCTGCCTGTAAACGGAAGTGTACTGTTAATCCACCTCTCTCAAATAAATATAAAAATAAAAAGGTCTGATTTATAATGAGTATAGTGTTAGACAATTTTATAACTGTATTTAAGCTAACAATGGTACATCTTTAAACAGAATTACAAAGATATGAAGTCAATATAATTCTTTTTAATCTGAATGGTTTTATTTCATTCCGACTGAAATGTATAATATAATTCTTGTTTTTTTGATTTGCCAGCCCCTTTCCTTCTACTTTCATTATATCTCATTCCATCTTTCTTCTTCAACTTGCATAAACCACATGGTGTTTACTCTTTTGTACCTTATGCTTTAGTGCTTATAAATTTATATGCTTAAATGCTTACAATTATATAAAACACATATTCATTTATATATGTATATACAAATGAACATAGACATACACATATATGATAAATGCCATTGCATTGCTTACCAAAAGTAGATTATATAACAAAGAATTCTCTTTTTCCATTCATCTCTCAATCATATTTCAGGAAAAATAGCACTAAATTAGAGAGACAAATATTTCTTTAAGCATAGTTTATTAAACAGTTACTTAGCTGATGACCATTAACTGTTTCCAGTATTTTATCCCTAACAAAATAATGTTATAAATAGCCTTGAAAATAAAAGCAATCAAAGATAAAAATAAAATAGAGATCTTGATTATTAATCCTCCAACTGGGAAGAGGGACCCTGAGCTAAGAGAGCCTTAACAAATGGTGATTACTGTACCCAACTCTTTTCTCCATCCTACTTAGCTTTGGATCTTTAAACAGCAGAACAAGAGCCCTACTGTGCTAACTAATGGACTCACCAGGTGAAAGGATTTTTCTACCTCTTCATTTCCTTCCTCTTCCCACTCTTTCTTTCACAATTCTGCTTCCTGGACACTGGGTATATTAGAACTACCTGAGATACTAGTTTAAAATGAAGATTCTAAGGACTTTATTGAATCAAGCTTCTAGGCTTAAGACAAGACACCTTTTGTTACAAACCCTGCATTTTAACACATTCTCAATACATAACCCAAGGTTTTCTAAGAAGAAAAAGTGAAGAGGTACAAAGGTCAAGAAGAGAGGAACAGAACCACATATTGACTCATGATATGATTCATAAATTCTGGTGTTAATAAAAATAAACTGAAACATGAAATGGGAAGACAATTTTTATTGAACATCCTGCTGAAGCCTGAAGAATAGTGTCACTTCCCACTGGCGCTCCTGTGATCTGAAACTTCAAGGTGTCCTCTGAGCTCAGTGTTCATTAAAAGCATTTTCTATGAACCACAGCTGCACCAAATTCCTCAAAGTCTACAGAGGTAACCCACATTTGCTTGAAACTGCTCACAGAGGTCATGATGGATGCACCAATCCATGCAGAAAAACATCTATAGGGACAAGCCATGATCTTGATGGGGGTCCCTACAGAAGCCAGCTGTTCCAGTTCTTTCATGAGCCTTTCTTCCAGTCCAGGCAAGAGTGTGGTGCCCCCAGACAGTATAATCTCTGAACAAAGGTTCTTCTGGATGCCAGTGTCACACTTCAAAATGCTGCTGCAGACCATTTTTGAGAGTCCTGGGTTGTGGATGCCCAGTCGGCCAGGTGAAAAAAGAATCTCAGGCACTTGGTGCAGCAGGTCCCCAATCTGGATGACATTCCCATCTGGAAGTTTGTATTCTCTCTTGACCTCCTCCATCTTCTTGCATAGTTCCTTCTCTGGCTCCAAGGCAATGTAGCACAGCTTCTCTTTGATGTCATTTACAAGGGGCTTGTTAAGTATGAAAGGAAAGGTACACTTGCTAGCAAAGAGGAGCCGGGTGAGGTGCTCTGTGATGTCCCTTCCTGCTACATAGAGCTTGGTGACTGCATGAGGTACAGAGTAACCCTCAAAGACAGGGACAGTGCAAGTAAGCCCATCCCCACTGTCCACCACTAGGCCTGTGACACAGGCAGAAGCATACAGTGCTGCCACTGCATGGTTGGACAGGTAGAAAGCAGGCACATTGAAGTTCTCAAACATTATTTCTGCAAGTTTTTCTCGGGTCTCTGTTGGGTTCCAGGAGGGCTCAGTCATGAGTACAGGCTGTTGACAGGGCTTTATTCTCAATTCCCACTCAAAAAGATGTTCCCAAAGTTTCTGCAAGTCATCCCAATTTGTTATTAGTCCACGCTTAATGGGGTGATGTAAACATAAGGCCTCATAAGTGCAGGGGGCTTCGTCCCCTGAAAAGTGCTTTTTCTGATTGGCTCTGGCTGAAGACAGGTTGAATTTAGTATGCCCCACAACAGAGTTGATGACATGACGGGGTCTAATTTCTCCAGACAAGCCTGCTTTGCAGAGTCCAGAACCATTGTCAAAAATCACAGCTGGGACATCTAATACATGTTGATTAAACATGTCTGCAGCATGCTCTTCTGGACAAAATAAAGAAAGAACACTTAGGTTACTTTGTGAGACAACAGGTACCTTTTGGAAGTTGTATGATCACAGGATTCTGAAGTTCTCAGGTTGTCACCAGGCAGAGCTAGCAGGCTGCTTCTAATTCACCAGAACACCCCATCTTCAATCCTGGAGGCTCATCTCCTTTCTGCTGGTCCAGGGCCTGCTGAGGCAATTTCAAAGGATGATTACCCTTTATGTAACAATGTAGCCAAGGCAACAATTGTCCTCAGTGAGCATCAGAGGGGCGGGGTCCCTGAGCCACCAGTACTTCCTATTTAGTTAGACTTAAAGCCATGAAAGGCAAACGTTACCTATAAACAGTCATGATAAGCCTGTTGCCCAAAGCAGAGGCCTACTTTTAGAACAAAGTGAAGTTTCCAGTCTATAGATTTGTCCCAGAGAACTACCCTCTTTGCTCTGTTGAGCTGTTGTTTGTTAAATGACAAAAATGCACTTCTTTTGTTAAAATTAATTATTAAGCATCAGACACAGATTCAGGTTGTAGTGAGAATACCCATAATCTACTCAGAATACCCTTTCTATTATTTTTCACTATATTTGTTTTTTGCTTGTTTGTTTGTTTGTTTTTAACAATTTTATTGAGAAAAATTTCACATACCATGCAATTTAACCATTTAAAGTATCAGTTTCCAAGATTTTAGTATATTTACAGGTATGTACAAACATTACAAAAATCAATTTTAGAATTTTTTTCACCTCATAAAGAATCCAACACTCCCTTTAGCTGTTACCATTCACCAGAACATCGTCTTGATCTTCAAGCACTGCTAATGTTTTTTTCTGTCTCTGTAGATTTACATTTTCTACATTTTTTCATATCATTGGCATTATACAATATGTGGTCTTTTGTATCTGTCTTCATTCACTCTGAATATTGCCTTCAAGGTTCATTCACTGTTTGGATATAACATTTTGTTTATCTATTTATCAGTTGATGGACATTTAGTGTTTTCACCATTTGTTTAATATGAAGTATACTGCTAGAAACAATCTTGTATATATCTTTTTTGTGTAGAATTATGTTTTCATTTCTTTTGGGGATACACTTAGAAGTGAAGTTTCTGAGTCATATAACAAGTCTGAGTTAAATTATTTGAGTCTACTTTCTGTAAAATCTACTTTTCAAAGTGGTTGTATCATTTTATATTCCTCAATATGCCATAGGAGCATTCCTACTTCTCCGCGGGCTCCTTAATATTATTATTAGACTTTTTTATTCTAGTTATTCTAGTGTGTATGTAGTGCTACCTTAGTATGGTTTCGATTTACATACTTGGTGTCTAATTTGGGAATCTTTGTATATGCTTATTGGCCATTAAATATCTTCTTTGAAAAAATGTCTATGTATATCCTTTGTCCATTTTTAATTGCTGTCTTTTTTATTTATCCAATTATATTGAATTGTCAGTGTTCTTTACATATTCAAGCTTCTAGTCTTTAACAGGGTAAATTGTATACAAATATCTTCTTCCATTCTTGAATCATCTTTTCACTTTCTTGATAATGTCATTGGAATTAAAAATATTTTATGTTTGATATAGTCTAACTTGTCTATTTTATCATTTGCTGTTTATATTTTGTGTTTATCTAAGAATGCATTATAAAATCCAAGTTTCTCAGTATGTATACCTATGACTTTATCTAGCAATTTTAAATTTTAGCTCTTGCATTTTTTTAGTTTATTTTTGTAAATGGTGTGCATTATATTTTCAACAACTATCCAGTTGTTCCATTTGTTGAAAAGACTATTTTTTTCCCATTGTTCTATTGAACAGCTAGTACCTTTGTCAAAAAACAGTTGGCCATTGACACACCAGCTTATTTATGAACTTGCAGTTCTACTGCATTAATCTACACACCTATCATTGTGCTAGGTAGCACACTGTTTTGATTGTTGTTATTTTGTAATACATTTTGAAATTAAGAAGTCCTCCTTCTATGTTATTTTTCAAAATGGTTTTGGCTATTAAAGGTCCCTTGCAATTTTATATAAATTTTAGGATCAGTCTGTCAACTTCTACAAAAATGTTATCTGGAGTTTTGACTAAGTTTGAGTTGAATTGTTATAGTCGGATAGCAAGAAAGAAGCTACCAACATGCAGAGAGGGTCAAATTATGAGTCCTTTTTTGATGCCGGCAGAAGAACTCTCAGACCCAGTTAGAATGAACAGTGGGTATGTAAAGGCATAAATTACATAAGCTGTACAGTTTGATTGATATTTCTTGGCAATACAGTTGATTAGTAAGACGTATGTATGGTTACAGAATTTAGGCAACTAGGGTGTTTCCAACCACCAAAAGGTACAGGAATTTGGGTGTGTGGGATGATTACGGGAAGGTTACATAAGGGGTTTATCCTAGGTTAATATGGAAGATCTGCTACAAAATGGAGTTACTTATGTCAAGCAAGCTATTACAGGTTATTACAGGTTTTTCAGATTGGATACTTCATATTTCATGCCCCCCATTTACTTGTTCATGAGTCAATGCATTGCCTTATCAGTAAGAAGTATACTATTGAACTGGGGTCTCATATATAGGAGCTTTACAGAACTGATTCATTGTTTGACAAAATGAATAATTCAATTTATTACACAGGACCTGATAAATATATTGAGGAGAAGTATGAGGGGTTCAACTAGACTAGTAACAAGAGTTGTTAACCATGGGTTCCAACCAAACAGGGTCTGGAACCAGGATTTATTAGTTTCCCTTTCTTTTTTGTCATTTGTTTAAATTTTCTCTGACTGTTTGAAGAGTATCTCTAATAACCCCTTATTTGTTGGCATAAAAGCAACAAGCCTCTCCAAGGGCTACACAGAGGCTTGGAATAGGAAAAGTAAGTCTAGGCCTCTACGATTTTGAAGGACAACTTCAGCCAGGGATTCTGCCTGGTCATGGAGTTGGTCCATGGCAAATTGTAGATTTTCCAGGTCAGCAACAATTTCTTGGGTAGGATAGATAGACCCAGTTCTCCACGAGCCAGAGCAGCAGTGCCAAGTGCAGCTGTTCCTACTATACATAGTCTGATTAAGGCAAGTACTACCAAGGGAACAGCACGTTTTGAATGAATAATTGGAAGACCATGGGAATTGAGTAGAAGAGCTCCTTTGGGACTGCTATAAGCATAAACTTGAGGCAGAATATGAACAGTGATATATAAGGTAGGCTGATTATACCTTTTGATAGTAGCACACTTGGTAAAGCCTGTGGGACCAGCCAACCAGTATTGTCAGTAGCTACGTAGGTCAAGGATTCAGTCATAGTTGCGATGAGAGACAAATTATAAATATCAGAGAATGGAGAAGTTGTTAGATTGTAACCTGGAGTTATGAGACAGGAGGCTTTACCAGTTACATCTCCTAGAGTAATGTGAATTATTTCTGGAGTGCACTTCGTTCTCCAGATGATAGGAGTTTCAACTCCTATGCCTCCATCGTAAGGGAGTTTTGGTTTTAAGCAGAGACTGCAATCTGAGGCCAACTGGGGCATAGTGGCATTAAGCACATGATGCATATTAGTTAACATAGGAAAAAGACTAGGGGGTTGGGGGGACAGTTTTGGAAGCAGTCGAGATGAACTTGGAAGCTGTGGAGGTAAATCCTGGGTAGTGGCTTGGTTGGCAGACAGCAGAGGCTGAGGCAGAGGCTGGTGGTAACTGAACAAGGGATTTTTTAGCTTGACTAATGGCTCTATTGGTTTGGTCACGGCATTATAGGCAAATGTGCACCATCAAGTAGTGAATAAGGCGCCGTGGTCATAATCATTCATGTAAAGTCGTATACCTCAGGTATTTCCTGTACTCCAGGAAGAATGGAGAGGATTAGTAACCTTTATATATATAGGCCATCCTGGGCCAGCACCCAGCAAAAGGGTAATTTTAGAGGTGTTATTAGGCCCCCCACTGTAAGTTGCAATGGTGACGCATTTCCAGTCTGGGCAAAAGAAGTCATTTTCCTGGTTACAACTGTGGTCAGTGGGGTTACTGGGGAAGAGATAAAAGTTTAGATCCTTTATATAATTGGGGGTTGCCCACTATTTGCATGATTTGCTGTAAAAATGATTTTGTATACCGTATCTACCATACAGGCTTCTAGATAGACATTCTTTTTTATTTGTGGCAGGTCAAGAAGGTTTACTTTAAACTGGACCAGAGGTAAACCGTGGGTCCAGATTTGGATAGCTAGGACCTCTCCTGTTGTGAAAGATGTTAGGGAGAAAGAGCACAGGGTGTCTTTAGACTCTCAAAGTAAAATAAATCAAGTTAAACTTATTGTGAGCATAGCGTTAACAGGGACTTTTTGCCACATTTCCAATCTGCAGGAGCTACAGTAAGGAGTCCTACGCCAAATCCCAAAACAAGTGGTATCACAAAAACAAGAGGTAAAGGATGAGTACAATACATTTAAAATGAAATTGGCAACCAGTCTGTTTGAGTCTCATGGTTTAGATGTACATCAAAAGGTGACATTGAAAGGGTTCTTGGAGTCCTTGGTTGCTTTCCAGTTTGTTGAACAGTGGCTGTTTTCCCTTGTTGAACAAAGGAGTGGATATTTGGGGTCCCTTGCAGCTGCAGCACAGTCAATAACATAAACTGGTGGTCAGTTTCCCTGGCCCTTTTGACTTGGGTGTGGTGAATCCAGGTTAGTATTCCAATGACCTTGATTGCTGTTGGAGTGGTGAAGATGATGAAAAATGGCTCCTTCCAGGCAGGAGTTAGTTCTTCTTTCTGGAACTTTTTGACACAAACCAGATTGTCGGGCTGGAATGGATGACAAGGTATAGAGGATGGAGTGGGCAAGACAGCACGAACACTGGAGTGTACAGTTGCCTGGACCTATTGTAGAGACTCGAGATACTTTAACAGAGACTGACTGGTAATTTTTTAAGGAAGGGATACATTGGAATGGTTTAATACAGGTTATACTTCAGAA